TCCCGAAATACTTATTTATTGTCCTCTGACGTACCTTCTTATTGGGTTTCAGAACTGGTCAAAAGAAAAAGCATGTCGAGAAAGATGTAAACGTACGTGTAAACGAACTCTTTTTTTTTTTGATTGCAAAATTGCTAAATTCTAATTGCATATATATACTTTTCCCCCTCCCCCCCTCCTCCTCCCCTTGTAGCCAAAGGGGACAGCCAAAGCAGAACCTACGCCCGGACAATATATTGTAACTGGTTCGAGAGACAAGACCATCAAAATTTGGGATTCTACAGGACAATGCGTTAGGACTCTGGTAAACCATTATTCATTGCGTGGACGCACACACACACACTCATTTTAGCTTGCTGTCCAAGTGGGAGGTAATATCGTGATATTAATTTGCCCTTACTTTTTAGGTTGGTCACGATAACTGGGTGCGTGGTCTCGTCTTTCATTCGAGTGGGAAATATCTTATCAGCGCTTCGGATGATAAAACGATCAAGATATGGGATATCAAGACTGGTCGCTGTTACAAAACTGTTGAAGCCCATGCACACTTTGTGACTTGCATCGCGTTTAATCACGGAAACCCTGTGGTTGCTACAGGGTCCGTAGATCAAACGGTGAAGATCTGGGCTCCGTACAGGTGAAATCGGAGTATAATAGGGAATTATTGGATTATGTATTGTGGAAGTATAAAAATGTCTTACTGAATAGAGATAAAATTTGAGAATATATGCGTGAGACATGCGATAAAATTGGTTTATATACATATATGTCGATTATATATAGACTTGTGTTATTTCATATTTATATAGTTTCCCTGATAGTAAGGTAAAAGGTTGTGATTATATAAGTATTCTTTTTTTTTTACCACTTCCTCCACAACGCTTATACACAAAATCATAGCTTAAAAATGTATTTATTCCTTGCGGCACAAGAGAGCGGTGCATTTTCGATATTAGAGGGAATTATAACAAGCAACCTGTTTGTGTGCCTACGTATAACATGTGTTGAGTGAAAGTGAAAACCTGAACATAGGAGAACTAAACCTTGAGCATAAGTGATGAAACAGAGAGTACATCCAACTCTCTCACGCCATCCTGTGACAACGCATCATTGTCTGTAGGTTCTTCATTGAAGAGATTCGTTTATTGACAATTCTGTTTGTCAAATTGCTTTAACAACTTGCTTACATTAAGGCTAAAATAATAAATACGAAACATCTGTCATTACTAAAATCACAATTATCTATCCAAATAGTCTCTGGTTCATGAATAATTAGACATTATCCCCACCACTGTCCATTAACAAGTCATAATCTACTAACATTTATCTAACATCAATTTGGTTTTCCATCTTTTTTTTTTTCGTGTTGTCCCTTTTATCCCCCCGTCCCACCCAATCCCAACCCCCCAAAAACTGTCTAATATCTATTCCAATTTCTACCCGGGTCTTCACCACCCGATGCAATTCCACTGTCATGTGGAGGTAATTGTCCTGAAGTCTGACCATGATGTGTAAGACTACGGCGATCATTGTGATGTTGATGTAAAGAAAGTGGTTGATGTTCTGTATTGTGATGTGGCGGATAATGGTGATGTGGATGGCTATCGGAAGACGTATATGTAGGATCATTAGATAAACTCCTCTTCATCGGTAATGGGAATAAACTAGATATTGGAGGAAGAGTGACATTTGAATTGTTGGGTGGCGGAGAATGCCGACGTCGCGGCAGGGGCACAGAGAATGTACGTGTTGGTGTTGGAATATGATGGTGTTGCGGATATGGTTGTTGATTATGGTATTGATAATGCTGTTGATAGGAGTGTTGCTGCTGTTGCTGTTGCTGCTGCTGTTGCTGTTGTTGTTGTTGTTGTTGTTGTTGTTGTTGTTGTTGTTGCTGTTGTCGTTGCTGCGGCTGCTGTTGCTGCTGCTGTTGATGATGGTGGTGATGATGATGATGATGTTGTTGTTGTTGTTGGTGAGAATGTGGATGTGTTATTTTATGAGAGTTATTGACTGAATTCATGGATGGTGATACAGGTAATGAGTGTTGCGACATTCGCGGGCTATCAGTAAATTGAGTCGTATAACTAGGTGTTGCTATATTGTCCGCACCGCCGCTTGTGTTATTTTTGTTATGATTATCATGTGAAGGAATAGGATGGGGAGCTATAGGATGATAATGAGGTGGGGTTAGAAGTCCGTTGGTTGTAGACGAGCGGCGGGACATGTGGATTGGAATAGGACGTGATTTAGGTGACATTGAATAATTTGTGTGGGATGAATGCGGATAAAAAGGTGTCGATGTGGAAGATAATGAAGAGTTGGAAGATAAAGAGTCAGCTCGACCATAGTGCGCTATCGATGATGTCGATGATGCTGTTGTCATTGCTGTTGTCGATCGAGATGGGATTGAATATTGAGAATTTGTTCGCGGAACATCAAGAGATGCAGACGCTAGAGGATGTCGACGTATGTTAACGTATGGATTAGATGCATCGACAGATCGTGTTGGTGTTGGAAAGCTAGCCGATCGAGGTTGTCTTGGAGACGACATGGGCGAGTAGATACTATTACTGTACGGCTGCGGTTCACTGTGGAGTTCGCCTGCGTAAACAGGGGTGTAGGGTGAATCCGAGTCGTGAGAGAACGATGTCGGGGGTTCAACCAAGGACGGTATCTTGGTATCATCTCGAACAGAAGTATAACTGTGTTCATCGTAGCTACTGTATGCGGATGGATAGTCGGATATATGTCGAGCCTGATAGGGTCTCATAGCACTGCCGTCTTGTGTTCGTTGTTGATGTGAATAATCAATTGGAGGCTTCATTTGTATGTGTTTCAAAGTTGTTGGTGACGACATGGCTTGGTCATGATATACTCCACCAGCTACTTCAACTGAAGGGAACGTCGGCCGTCTTTTCTTTTTTGCGTTTTCTTCTTCTAACAGGTCTTGATCTTCGCCTGATTCTGTCAGCCGAGTAGGTCGTTTCCTAAGTTAACAATAACAGCATTAGCGAATTGAACTGACGTGACAATGTAATTCCATGATAAATGGCATAGCAAGTATACATTTGTATTCGATGCTCTTTTCTTATCCTTATTTTTACTCCTTGGTCCGAGAATGATCTGGATAAGAAGGTTGATTCCGACATTCCAGGAAAAGTCTTTGGAGAATATACATTGAATATATCGGAAAGGATGGACAAAATATGAACAACTTCATCGCTGTTGAGAATAAAATAACGGTTAACGATAGAAAACCATTTATTAACACAATTTATTTTCGTGTACGTACCCTATGATTTCAAAAAGACTGAATCGTAGGCGAAATCGACCTTCTATGCGCACTGATATATCACCAAACACAAAGAAGCCCCCATCTGGAAATAATAGACATGACATGAGTGATGAATTCGCCACATGGTAACAAGAATTGAGCATTATATCGATATGAGATTTTATCATGCCAACAATTACCCTGATTGTCGATATCTTTTAATTTATGTAGAGATGAAACCACGGTGCCTGTCAACACTCGCGGGGACATATTATACTGTTCACTATTCTCCTGTGACGGGTGCACGAGATTAGCACACATGAAATAATATGGACTCTGGAGGAAATTCCTGATAGCAATGGGAAAGAGAAAACAAGGATGAGAAATGATGATGCAAGATATATAATCGTTGATGATGAGATATAAAGATTGACACTATCAGTTACAGAGCGAGAGAGACAGATACTCACTGAGCTTCCTCACTATATCCGTCGATTTTCAATTGAATAATGGGCGGAGGGTCAACTGGTCTTCTGTCTACAAACGGTAATCGAGAATGATGAAATTACGATTCGTTTGATAATCAATGTGATAACACGAGAGAAAGGAGGCCGCTGTGATTATTATCGTTACCTCTCTCTTTATTACTACATAAGCGTGCTTGCTTTGGTTGTTGCCGTATGATCAATTTGTATTGACTACTACTCGAGTAAAGGTAAAGCGTTAACAAATAGTTTCATTACAAGTTACAAACAATCAGTCTATGCGATCTCTGTTTCACGCAAGCTGCAATCATCTGTACCTGTCCAATGGTCGTTTTCGATTCCAACTACTAACAAAGTTATAGGTGTTTAATACAGGGTTCTTTGACATTACGATTACGAAATATACTTTTGTCGGTAGACGTAGTATGAAATATAAGAGATGTATATATAAAAGATTCGGTGCTTAACGCAAGTGTATATGTATATATATATAAATATATATGAAATTATATATACACTTTACAATAAAATAAAGGGGAGAGAGAGAGGGGGAGGGAGAGGGAGGAGAGGATGTTGAAAGTGTTCGAGCGGGTATGGTGTTGTGCTCGTTCGTTCGTTCGTACGTGCGTGTGTGCGTGAGTGTTTGTCTCAATGTGTGTAGTCACAATGTAGAAGAGAGAGAAGAAGAATAATAATATTGAAAGTAGTAGTAGTAAGTAATAAGAGTAGTAACAAGTCAAGAAAGAACAGCAAGCAGTAATAGTAATAAAAATAAGAGAGTCACAGTCAGTAACTATAATGTATTTAAAATAAAGAAAATAAGCAGCAGCTTAATAATAGCTGTGCTGTCAACCCAAGTGTCCACCTGGTAAAATATAATCAATTTCTTTCCCCCTTAAGTAGGTATCGTTATCGGTTGTATTTTAATTTGTATCCAAACCACTCCCTGGAATATTCCTCGTTTTTTTTTATATGCTGTGCCGTTGGTGTGTGTGGTGTGTATGGTGTGTCTGGTGGTGTACGGCGCACGTAGTGTGTGTGGTTTGTGGATGTAGTCGTTTTTTCCTGTTTGTTCTCGTTTCCGTTCTTGTCGCCGTCGTCGTCGTCGTCGTTGTTGCTATTACCGTTGCTGTTGTTGCCGTTGACGTTCTTCTTCTTCTTCTTCGTCTTGAGAAGAGGAGGAGGACTTGCGCAGGGAGGGGAGTTGATTGTGTGGTGGGCAACTCGTGCAGTTTAGTTGTTGATGAATAATACTACTTTTTAGAGTAGACGGCTGAACCAGGGATGGGTGATATGAGCCTGGTAAGATAATTTGATAGTAAGATTGAACAATTGCATAACGGAGAATGAAAAATCAATAATGCAATAAAAAAATGTAACACAATTGATCTAAATAATATACTATAATGCATAATGTTTAATAAAGTATAAATGCTATATTAATATATACAAATAATCCCGAAATACTTATTTATTGTCCTCTGACGTACCTTCTTATTGGGTTTCAGAACTGGTCAAAAGAAAAAGCATGTCAAATGTTAAAGGGTAAAAAAAAATACTCGGGCAATCTTGTGGTCTATTTATTGTTAACAATGTTTTTACCATGCCATATAATTAATAATAAAATACTTTGTATAGAAAGTTAACGTTTGGTTCGGTTATTGCAACGCTCAAAAAAGAACTTTTTTCTCGAAATGTCTCGGCTCCAAACACAAACATATTCGAATGCATAAACCTCAATAAAGTAAATGTATACGCATATATGAACACAATATAATTGTTGGCTTGTGGCCGAACGTTTTTTTTTTTTTTTTTGCTAATTAATGATCTTCCGTACTTAGGCGGAGATGCAGCTAAGTATAGGTTGCATTATTCGTATTACCTCAACTGCGCGGAGTTGTAATTCCGGAAGTGACAACAAAGAAAGTGTCACATTTGCTACCTCTTTATAATCCCCTCAAAATACAACCCACACATAATTATTATATATGTTACAAACAATTCCCCCCGCTTCTGTTTCGAGTAAAACATACGTTAGAGTCCCGTCTCTTTTTGAAAGGCTCACCAGCTATTCTCTTTGTTGCGAGGAAAGCATCTGAATGATAATCGGCGCACAAATAAATGCTCCCCTTACACATCACAAAATGTCATGACAAAGAATCAGGGATTTTGTATCGACATAAAATTCGGATCAAATTACTCACTCTTATTTGCTTATTTAATAAAAACGGGTTTGGTTACGTCACTCTTAACACAATTTATTATTAATATTGCTATTATTATCTTATTTATTTTGTTTTATTATTATTATGCATTAATTAATACGGTAATTTTAGCAACTTTCTTGAGGCG